TAGACTTGGTTAGGGCGGCTATATGACACTATCCATGGTTATAAGAACAAGTTGTCCTATGTCTCACCAGTGCTTTTATTTAACAATATCCCATGAGATTTAAGTACAATATACACATTAATCCTGATTGGATGAGATTTAGGAGACTGTTTATGCAATGATTCACATGCTGAATGGTCATGCCTATGTACGGGTACACATCATGACTCAATTAGCGTTCACATTTGTTGTACTGCAGGAATTAACTGAACCAATTGAAGAAACTGATAAAGTTGAGATCAGTGATTTATATTCCCAGATTCTAAACACCGTACCAACTGTAGAACGTCTCAACGAATGTCCGATGATTGATAACATTTAGGTAGAATGAACGCAGTAATGCAGCCTGCTGCTGCTTTAAGTCAAACGGAAAATTTATGGTTTATTCAAGTGCAACTGGTGAGACTGTTCATTAGAGCAAAACAAACCAGAGACTTGTGTGTGTCAAATGTTACTACATTTTTATGCGTCAACTCACTTGCCTTATGCGAAATACGCTCATTTATGCTTACGACAGATGATGTCGTGTAAATTCAGAATGTCTCTAGAAGAATACTCAAAATTTACAAATGATTATTATTTCACCATTTACCGAACGCATTAGTTTTAAGCTGCTTTTTGGACTGACCAATTGGACATTACCAATAAAAAAAAGCCTAGTCTTATGAGTAGTATAATGATAATATCAATTAAAATAACTCAAGACTTTCTACCAAAATAATACATTCCTATAGTAGTTAATTGACAACAACTTTTAATAGTTATATTAATTGCGTTTAGGTGGTTTGAATTATGTGGGCTATGATGATAAAGATTATGACAATGACACGCATATTCTTTAAAGGCTGGTATACCCGTGGGTTAGCTATGAGCGATTACTTTGTATACCAATATGTATAAAACAGTTATTAAAAAAATCATATTCGACATGCTACATCTTTGTTTTCTCAATAACGTATTATAAGACGCAAGAATTGTTTTTCTAAGTGGTATACAAACTTTCAAGCTTTTTTTTTTGTGCAGCCATTTTGGATATTGACAGCCACTTTGTTTTTTCATAAAAAAAAATTGTGAAAAATGAATTGCTTGACCTGAAAAACTTAATATTAGACGCAAAAATTGTACTTCAATTCGATCAACAAGCTGAGAAATTGAACATTTCAATTTTGTTGTCGTTTCGGTTGCCATCTGGGATTTTGATAACCATTATGTTTTTTTCATAAAACTAAAAAAGTCGAAAATTAATTTCTTGACCTCACAAACGAAACAGGTGAAACAAGAATCACGTTTCTAGGTGAACTGCAACCACAGATATAACAAAATATATTTTGACGCCATCTTGGGCAGTATCTTGGATTTTAGATAAAGCTCCACTCCAATTAGAACATACATACAGAATACAGAACATTCCCAGCAATTTTCAACTTACTCATAATTTTTTCCGGGTCAAAACCTAATTTGACTGCGCTATATAGTATTATAGAAACTATAAATAAACTGTTTTATTTAAATAAAAATAGTTTATAATTAACATTAGTTTCTATAATAAACTAAATGTAATGTCCAATATGTTTAATCTGTATTATCAAAATCAAACACTATTAAACAAAGCCTGGTAGATTGCGAGAACATTTGTCTGCAAAACATTGAAACGATAAAAAAATAGCCGATTAAATATTTTCAAAAACTACATAAAAAATTCCTAAATCGGTCAACGAAAAATGATGCCTTTTATCTCATATCGAAATTAATTGCAAAAGACGGTAATAGTTATAAAATTAGTGAAGAATTATTAAAACCTTCAATAAAAAAATTTACCACAACAGTCATGCAATTAAGTATACTTTAAGCTTTAAAAACGTTGCCATTAAGTGATACTGCATCAAGGCGTAAAATTGAAGCAATGGCAGTTAAAACGTGGAGTGTTATTAAATATGTTAGTGTTAGTAAATGGCAGTGTGAAAAAAAAACGTGGGAAAAAAAAAAGATTAATGTTTTCCAACATTGTTTTTTTTTATTTGGATGATTTCCGCGCATTTGGATGATTCAACCACAGCAGACAATAACGCTTTTTTGATGAATTCTTCTTTGTTTTGGTGAAAAAAATGTATTGCTAAAAGAAATGTCATTCGCAATAAATCTTATTACGGATACAACTAGATAAGCTAGTTTTACTAATGTGAAATCATACTTTGCAAAAACCTGTGGATATATTGTTACTCACGCTACCGATAAAGCACCAGCAACATTAAGTTGCTATAGTGGATTTGTTATTTTCTTAAAATTAAAAATTACTTTTCATCATAAAGTATAATAACTCGAAATGTAAATCAAATTAAATCTATTGCCAAAAATTGTAGAATGGCAGCAAGGATAATAATGATGACTTTATACTTTTGCACACAGAAGATTGATGGCTGTCACGTATTTAAAACATTTTGCAGCATTATATGTATCATACAACTTTTTAAAAGTAGCAATAAAACCACTCTCTGCCAACAATTAAAAATTGTTAAAAAAGATGCCTTTTATTTCGAAGATTTTTTTAATTGATTTAATAATATTCATTTACAATTCCAAGGCACTAATTAAATTCTTATAAGTTGCCAAAGTATTGTATCATTACTTATTAACAGGCTGAACTTTTCCGCCATAGACAATTAGATAGAGAATTTTATCAATTTCCTAAATTATCATCTATAAAACATGATGGTGACTGGATAAAAAATCTATTTCTGCAAATGTTAAGAAAGCTGATGCAAACTGTCAAGAATAACTCATAAAAATCAAATGTGATGATGAAAGTAAACAGTTTTGATAATGTTGGATATGAAAACTTTTGGAAAAATAAAAAGAGGCCTCTCCTATATCCAAATATGTGGAAACAGGTATTCAATTTATTAATAACTTTTCCTACCCCTGATCTAATAGAATCAGGTCATTATGCAGATAACCATAATATGAACAAGAATGAAACTGTCTGAAATATGTCTGACATTTGCTTTCTAACAAAAATAGAAGCAGATATTAATTATACAACTTCGCAGCATCAGCCTCAAATATCCCAATAATAATTAAATTAGTTAATTATATTTAATCACAAAAGAATTTATATTTTTATATATTTCAAAGAGTTAATAAATTAATGTAAAAATATAAGTTTAATCATTACTTTTCACGTAGAGGACGTGTGGTTCTGCGTACAGAATGTATTTTGTTATGATGCAATAAATAGTTACACATATTTTTCTAGTGTTCTTAAATATTGTATATGTATGCTTTAATTTTTTGAAGCTCAACTTTGTAAATTATTTAAACACAAGTGAGTGGAAAAGAAAATTTTACTACCAGTTGAAGTGAAAAAGTGGGCAGTAGGTATGAAAAGATTAACTACCCCTGGTGTAAATGATTACGAACTGAAGTTTAATTTTGATATAATATGTATATTTGTATTTTGTAATACATTATGGTAGACATATTCTATACAATATATCATATCTCAAAGTTTAAAGAGAATTATTTAATTAAAGTCAATAAGATTTTTGCATCCAGCAGATGCATTTTGCTACTTATGTGGACAATTTATACAAACAAGATCGAAAAAGTATTTCGTTGAAGCTAGTAGTAAAATGTGTGTTGCACTGCCTTTTATATGCGCATATTAGCACTGCATCTTACATGCGCATATTGCATCAAATCTTTTGTAATTAAATTTAATAATTGCTGCTTAAAAGGACATTATTTTTTTGAACTTCATTGATTTAGATAGTAGTATGTTTTAAAAAATTGCTATTAACCAAGTTTCCGTGTATACCGGTGTGCTATAAGTGCTATAAGTATGTTATCATTTTATATTATAAGCTTTTATACTAATTGATGTATGAAATTTTTTTCCTTCAGGTTTACATTATTATTTATTTGTGCTATGTTTCAGGTTAGTACAGATAAAGAAATCAGAAAAGAATTTTTTTATATGCAATCCTATGGAGCATCCGCGCAACTGCTCCTATTGCATTTTTGATCTTACAAAACATTGCTTACGCATAAATACGCTTAAAAATTGTTTTTCCAGAAATTTCTTCATTTAGTACCGCAAACCTTCAAGACTGTTCCTACTCCCCTTAGAAGGATCAACCATCTTCAGAAGAAAATAGCAAGTCCAACATCAATGAAGATTTTGGAGATATATCAAATTAAATGCTAAGTTTTTCATATCCAGGCTTTTAACAGTCGAATTTTTTGGATAAAAAGGATGTCACATATTAGAGAAAACGTCACATAAACATTTTTTTTTTCTTTTCTTTGTTCTTTATACATAATAAAACATTTCGTTATATATATATATATATATATATATATATATATATATATATATATATATATATATATATATATATATATATATATATATATATGTTATAATATATATATATATATATATTATAATATATATATATATATATATATATAAAATATATATATATATAAAATATATATATATATAAAATATATATATATATAAAATATATATATATATAATATAATAGTGCTGCACACTTAAAGAGTGATGAGTCCACACTACGTAGAGTTTGTAACTTTAACAGCTGTAACATAATAAAAGTTAGTATTAAAAATGTTCATCCAATTTGTTTTTGAACTGGTTGATACTGACTGCGTCTATTGTTTCTTGTTAAAGATTGTTCCAGTCGTTTACTAATCTACTTGTGAAAAAATAATGTCGTATATTTCCTGCATATTGCCTTCTCAGTTTACAATTGTGACCTCTAGTTTTATATCCGTTATCTAGCATTTCGGGTTTTGTGTAAAAATGTATAATATCATACCCTTTCAAATATTTGAACATTTGTATCAAACCACCCCTTCTTCTTCTGTTCTCCAACGATAGTAAATCCAACTTTTTTAACCTCCCTTCATAACTGTATCCTTTCAAAATTTTAATTCTAGAAGCTCTTTGTTGGACACTCTAGTTTATCTTTATCATACTGACGATAAGGATTCCAGATAGGAGCTGCGTATTCCAAATGTGGACGTACTAAGGATATAAACAAGAGTTTCATTGTTTTTTCATATAAATATTTAAAAGTGTGTTTGATTTGACCTAGCTTTTGATTTGCTTTATTTACTGCTTTATTTACATGTTGTTTCCATTCCAAACCATCTGAAATGTACACTGCTAAATCCTTTTCCATGCTTGTGTTGGCTAAAGCTGTATTATTCATTAAAACTTTGTGTTGGCTATTTCCTATTATCATAACCTTACATTTTTGCTGGTTGAATTTCATCAACCACTCATTCAACCATTCCATTAATAAGTCTATATATTGTTGAAGTTCAATATCGTTTATCGTTTATTGAAGTTCAATATCGTTTATCGTTTATTGAAGCTCAATATCGTTTCATTATCGTTTTTTATTGCTCTAAGGATTTTTATGTCGTCATCAAATAGTTTACAGCTTGATTTTATTTTGTTGGAGATATCATTAATATACACTACAAATAATAGTGGTCCTAGCACTGATCCTTGTGGTACTCCACTCATGACCTCTTCCCATTCTGATTTATTATTTCCTTTCACCACTCTTTAAAGTTTGTTCTTTAAAAATCCCTGGCACCAGTCAAACAGTTTTGATTTAAAACTAAGAGCATTCAATTTTAACAACAATCTTTCGTGATCAACTGAATCAAACGCTTTGGCTAAGTCCAGAAACAAAACTATTACATCAAAACCATTATCAATTGAACTTGTGATAATATGTAGAAATTCCAATAAGTTCATCACACAACTTTTATTATTAACAAATCCATGTTGATTTTTATTGATTAATTTATTTTCTACTAAATGTTTCATCATTTTATGTTTAATTATTTTTTCCACGACTTTACAAACTACATATGTTGAAGATACAGGTCTATAGTTGCATGGGTTCAACTTGACGCCATTTTTAAACCGTGAAACAATATTTGCACACTACCATAATTTCAGAAGTTTACCCGTTTCAAATGATTTATTAAACAAAAACGATAGTGGTTTGGCTAAAGTAGATTTGCACTCTTTTAGAACTTTTGGATGAACTCTGTCCACTCCAGTTGCTTTATTAGTGTTTAGTTTGTTTAATTATTCTTCAACAATACTTTTAAATCAGTTTTGATGCTACCATTCTTTAGTTGGATTGCTCTTATATTGTCTTTGACTTTACTTTTATTGTTAATATATAAATAAACTTTCTTGAGGTTAAACTTTGAGTTTAAAGCAAGATCATATTCAAAATCTTTAATTCTTTGATTCACTTTTTTTTTTAAACCTTGTTTAACTCTATGTATTTTGTAACTAAACGATTGTCTCTGAATTTCTGCCTTCGACATTCAAACCAAACGTTTCTTTTTTCTTTTGATAGCGCTTTCAATTCTCTATTAATCCAGAAAGGTTTTGTGAATGATTCCTGGTTTTATAATTGGAATAAAGAGTTTACATTCTTCTTCATAAAGGCTTAACCATTTTTCGTAACATTTGTTTATTTCTACACCTTTGAATTCATTGTCCCAGTTTAAGATTTTAAAATAATTATTTAATTTATCATTTTTCCCTCGATTGAAACTAAATTTTTCTTTTATAAGTACAATGTTATCAATACACTCTTCATGACTGTAGTTAAATTTAATAATGTGATGACCATGATTAATACCTCCCAATGTTGGAAGCTGTACCAGTTTATAAACTCTATTTTTATTCTCAGCTATAATCAAATCTAGTATATTTGTTTCATTCTCAATGTTATTTTGAAACGTTGGCTTAATCACATTCTGATGAATGAAGCAATTATTTAAACATTCTAAGAAATTTTTAGCTGGTGTATCAGTCTCACTAGTTAGTGTGCTTAGGGCCGGCACGAGTAGGTGTCACGTGGGTGGGGGGTGGGGGGGGGGGTGCCATTACAACTTTTGCCGACTTAAAAAAAAAAAAAAAAGGTCCTCGTTTTCCAAAATTCCCAAATTTGCCGACTGCCATTACGACATTTGCCGACTGTCTAACCTATGTCACATTTGCCGACTAACTAGTCTAAAAATGTCCGATTTGCCGACTAAGGGTCCAGTTGGCCGACTAAAAATCATTTATGGGGGGGTGTCACACCCCCACACACCCCTATCGCGCCGGCCTTGAGTGTGCTATTAAATCTTCTGTCCACTTGATTGCGTTGAAATTAAAATCCCCATGAATAAGGATTCCAGTATATTTATTTGATAAATTCATTGAATGAGCAGAATTAATAGACTTTGTGATATTGATACAGTCACTTATGTTACTAATTCCGATTCTGTACATACTGCCACATAATATATTTTCACTTCCTAATTCAATAACGCGCCAAATCTGTTCTATATTAGGGTCATTTAAACATTTTTCTGAAATTTCATACACTTTTATATTGTTTTGTACATGTATACAAACTCCTCCACCTCTACCAACGCCTCTGTCTCTTCTAAATAAGGTGTATCCATTGATATAAGTTACTGATTCATTGTTCCACCAAGTTTCACAAATCATAACTACATTAGCTTTGTTAGAGTTAATCACATCAATTAGTTTGTCAAACTTATTGTTTAATGAAGTTGCGTTCATGTATTATTTCGCTGAGTTTTGATATTAAACTTGATGGTGCATTAATCTTTTTAGTATTTCTTGATTTCAATTTTCTGCAGCATATCGTTTCTGATAACAAATCGAAATGTTGAACTTTACCTTCCTCTATTTTATTCAGCCTATTTCTCTCACCAAGTAGCAATTTAAGACCATCTCTTTGTCTATACGTTAGATCTGGATTGATAAATACTTTATTTTTATATGCCTCAACTTTATTTAAATCTCTAGCAACACTTAAAACTTGTTTCTGGCATGATGGATTAACTAGTTCAATAAATAGTGGTCCTGGTCTACTTTTGTCTCTACTGTTTAACCTGAAATGTTTGACAATACAAGATTTATCTAATCCAATAGCGTCAAATACTTCTCCAACACTTTCATCATCATCTTCTTTAATTGCATTCTTGCTTTTTTGTTTCGGTTCCTTTAATCCAAACACTAGTACATTTTTTCCTTTTTTGATCTTTTCTTTTTATTCAGCTGAAATTACATTTAATAATCTCGTTTCTGAATCACTAATAGGGGGTGCTCCTTCGCTTGTTTTCTTAATAAGACTACTAGTGAGTGGTTTGTTGTTATTTTGATTGCATTGTTCGGCTAACTAATTTTTTAAACTTTCATTTTCGGTATTTAATCTTTCATTTTCTTTCTTGACTTTAATAATGCGTTCGATTAATTTCTTTCTAAGTACCTCAATAGCAGTATTCATTGCTTGAGTTGTATCTTTTGATACTACCATTATTGAAAGTTTTTTTAAAACACGTGCTCAACTAGGCTGCCATCTTTAAGCCGCCATTTATCAGGTTTATACACAAAAAAAGGCCGGCTGGATAGGGGGTGTGTGACACCCCCCATCAATGATTTTCAGTCGGCAAATTTGACCCTTTTTGACTAATTAGTCGGCAATGTCAATAGATTAGTCGGTAAATTTAGTTAGTCAGTCGGCAAATGCCGTCATTGAAGTCGGCAAATTTTCAAAATCGAGGACTTTTTTTTTTTTTTTTAAGTCGGCAAAAGTTGTAATGGCACCCCCCCCCCCCCCACACACACACACACACGTAACACCTACTCGCGCCGGCCCTATATATATATATATATATATATATATATATATATATATATATATATATATATATATATATATATATATATATATATATATATATATATATATATATATATATATATATATATATATATATATATATATATATATAAAGAACGCTTTAAAATTGTTTTTACAGACATGTCTTTCTGTTAGACTTTAAAGCCTAACAGAATAGGGTGATAAGTGGATTTTACAGGTATAAAAAAACAAAGAGTATTAAAAACATTTAGCTCATATATATTAGGAGCTTTAATTTTATTCTCAAAATGTTCCAGAATGTCTTGTAGTATGACAATGAAAGTTCATCTGAGACTTTAAAGTAATGTTATTCCTCATGTGCTTTTATTATTCCTCTCAGGTTTTTATGGGTGAATTCATTAAACTTTCTTCTTTATTTTGCTTTGGGGACAGCTGTAACACTAAAGCGCTTTTAAGTACCTCCAAAATCGTTTTTCATAGCTGTCCGAGGCTAGATCGGGCAGACCTGGTATCTTGTCGGAAACAAGAAGGTCATAGACGTGCTCTTCATGCTCCTTGTCACCGTTTGAAACAGAGATAAAAACATATTATTTTTTTATGCTAAAAACAGTTGTTTTTTTTTTTACAGTTGTATGTGGTTTCTTGGGTTAGCACAAGTTAAAAACTATGAGGAGTTGGTTTAGGTTTGCATAAAGATCTACGCAAAAAATGGGATGCAGAATGTCACTTAAAAATAATATTCTCAACGCACATCTCGATAAATTCAAGAAAAACATATTTTAATTACATTAAAACATGTTGGTTGAAGCTAGTTTAAAAAATTGGTTAGATGTGTAATTCTAGAAAATCTACTCTGTTTTTGTTTCTTTCCAGACCGAATGAACGAAAATATTTAACTTACTTTTTGTTTCAACAAAAATAAATTATTTATTACTATGCCGTAAAATCAAAGTTTGCATCTGAATGTAATTGTTTTTCCACAGCCTCATGATGTAAGCAATTGAAATATAACACTTTAATTTCAAAAACAAAAGTTGTTCAATATAGTGTAATTATATTCAATGATATTTTTAAAAACCTTTTTATTAATGTTGTTTGATAAGCTGGTTGAGCCTTTTTTGAGTTCAAAAAATATTGAATTCACCAAGTTAAGAAAATAAGGCAGCCATTATAAATTGTAAAAGAACTTTTTTATTAATAAGCTTAGATATGCCCGACTCAACTTTAGCTTCCATCGGAAATGGTCAATGAAATCAAGTTTTTATAGCTTGCACATTTTTTGCGCGACACAATACTAACAGGAATTTTTTGATATGGGTTAAATAAGATAGATTTTATATATCAATAAAGTTATTTTTTTTCTGCTCTACGTTACTATAGTGCTATAAAATTATATTGCCACGATATTGCAATATGTTGTTATAGTAACATAAAAACACTGTTTTAATGTATAAACAGTGTACTAATTAAAAATTTTAACTTATTCATCATTATATAAACTTATTAATGTCATACAATTCTTTTTTACCTTTGAAAATACAAAGTGACTTTTTCTCATTAAAAAACATCACCACCCCAAGTATAAAGGATTAGGATATATAGAGAGAGATCATAGCAATGTATTTAAATAACATTTTGAATTAATAGCACGCAAAGCATTTACACGTCTGCCAATATCTGTATATGACAATCCAGTATCTTGTAAATAAATATCAATTTGATTTTTTAAAGTTTTTTCTTTTGCTATCATTTTCATAATTTTTTCCTTCAAAAACGTAAAAGTGTCATGACTTTATGCACATCAAAATTTTTGACAAGAAAAAAAATGTTTGATAACTGTATTATCATTTGTTGAGGTTTTATTTTTGTAAGATTTATTTCGATAACATACTTGTAGCGGTGTTGAAATAAATTGAAATTGATGTTGATAAATTGGCCTCGGTCAAAGTAACTCTATCTTTTGTGTGTGAAATGACCATTAACATGCAGTTATAAAAACTCCAACTTTACAAAAATTTGAATAAAAACGTTGTAAAATAAACTGCAATTTCACATAAGAAAATAAGAAGACGGGTTTGAGCAACGGTGCATTAACGATAGGAGATCATCTTAACCATCTTACCCTCCGTATTTTCTCAAATTTTTTTATTGCATTAAGTCAAAAAGTCTTATTGTTTCAGTTTATTTAATCTCAAGTTGTTTTCGTTTTTTGTTCCTAATTTAACGATAAAATCTCATTGTTTTTTTTTTCTTTTTGTTTTTTATTTGAGACATTATAAATAAATTATTTACTGAAAAAACATTTTATTCACTAAAGTTATTCTTATTAGATGTCTTAAATTAAGCCATAGATTGTTTAAAATAAAAAAATAAAGTCCTTTATAATAACTGATTTGTTATTATTATGAACTCGAATTTTATAATAAACTCGGTTCATTCGGGTTCACGAGAAAGAAAAAAAAATTGGATACACAATTATTTTTCCTTATCTATAGGAAATTTTAAAAATAAAATATTCGGAATAAAAAAGATATAAATAAAAAGTTATACAATATTTATTTTCTCCGTATGCTTGGAAGCAAATAATAATAGTAACCAATGGAAATCTTTTATTTGATTTCAACAACAAAGGTTAGGCAGCTGATGCTAAAAAAATAAACTACCACTAAAAAAACTCGATGCTTTTCTCGTTAACTAATAATATTTAGTATTAGGTTAAACTTTTTTTCAAGCAATTTAGTTCATCATTTGCTAAATCGACAATTAAAAAATAGTTGAACTCAAAAAAAATAAACTATATGCGATCGGATTATCACTCCTTCACTTTTTTAAACTTGACTACGTTAGCAAAAACGGGGGCTATTGTTACGATGTGTTAAAGTATTGACAATTATTTTGGTTTAAATTTAAATAAATAAAAGTCGAATAATTAAAAAACGAGACTACGTTTGTTACAACAAATATTTATGTGTTAGTAGATTTTAGTATTTGATATAACTTGTTTTTAAAATGTTTTCCTCTTTAAAATTTCTTTAATTGTTATTTTAATTATCCCTATACGTCACCACAAATCGAATTCGTTTCGTAATCTTTATATCTTGGTTGCGTTATTAGTGTCTGAATAATAATAATCTTTGAACAGTCGCATGTTTAAAAGTAGTTCAAAAGTTTTATAATAGATCCTTTTTTTATATATATTCATTTTTGCAAGAGATGTCTCGTTGGAATAAAAAACAAAAAGTCCCTGAAGTGTTTGACTCTGTAGCGGAAGGGCTTGTTCGTTTATATAAAGAAAAACTATTGCCTTTGGAAGAATGTTACAAGTTTCACGAGTTTCACTCACCAAAGTTAGAAGATAGTGACTTTTTAGGTAAACCGATGGTTCTTCTTGTTGGTCAATATTCTACGGGGAAGACAACGTTTATTAAATATTTATTGGAACAAGATTTTCCTGGCATGAGAGTTGGTCCGGAACCAACAACAGATTGCTTTACTGCTGTTATGCATGGTGCTTATGATAGAATTATTCCAGGAAATGCATTGGTAGTTGATGCAAACAAAAATTTTCGATCTTTATCTGCATTTGGAAATGCTTTTCTTAATCGTTTAAGCTGTGCTGAAACAAAAAACCCTGTTCTTGAAACAATAACTCTTATTGATACACCAGGTATTTTATCAGGTGAAAAACAATCAATTAATCGTGGCTATGATTTTACTGCAATACTAGAATGGTTTGCAGAGAGAGTAGATAGAATTATATTATTATTTGATGCTCACAAATTGGACATATCAGATGAATTTAGACGTGGTATTGAAGCGCTACATGGATTTGATGATAAAATAAGAATTGTTTTAAATAAGGCAGACATGATTTCTACACAACAGTTAATGAGAGTTTATGGAGCAATGATGTGGTCACTCGGCAAAGTTATTCAAACACCAGAGGTGACACGTGTATATGTTGGTTCTTTTTGGGATCAACCATTAAGAATTGATGATAACAGGAAATTATTTGAACTTGAAGAAAATGATTTATTTAATGATTTACAAACATTACCTAAAAATGCTGCTCTTAGAAAGTTAAATGACCTAATCAAGCGAGCACGTTTAGCAAAGGTATTAAATTTAATGTATATATATAACATATACAGTGCTTGAAGTGAGGTAGAATGCGGCGGAATGCTATCCCTTCATATTTTTCTGAAGTATAAACCATCATCCTGTCATCTTTTTATAAATCTCCTAATATAACAATAATAAGGCAGAATGATTTTTTTAGCATAAAATCACCCTGTTACTTTTTTTTTCCACGTCAAGCACTGTATATATATATATATATATATATATATATATATATATATATATATATATATATATATATATATATATATATATATATATATATATATATATATTCTTCTTTTGGTTAGTTTTAATTTAAAATAAAAAATATCAGATAAAAATAACATTTAATTTTCAATTAGTAAATTTTTATTTTGTATTTTATTTTATATTATAATGTTAACACCCATGAAATAATCTTTTTGACTGAGTATATATTAGGGTGTCTAAAATGCCTATACATATTACCTAAATGTATTCTATATATTAAAATAAAACTGGATATAAAAACTTTAAATTAAAATTTTTTTATGGGTTTTAACCCATTAAAATTAAAAATTAAAAAAAAAAAGAAATCATATTATGTCTCGAATAAATAAAATGAAAATTTTAAAAAAGATTATTATATCTTATATAAATATTAAAAAATATTTTATAAAAAAATATTTTTTCAATATTTTTTTATAAAATAATTTTAAAAATTTTCATATAATTTTGCATTATTTGAAACCCAACATTTTTAAAAAACTTTTTTGTAGGTAATATTAGATAATTCAATATGTTAAATGTTCAGGGGTCTTATGGAACCCTTAAAAATATTCTTTAAAATTTGTTAAATCTAGTGTTATTTTAATATAATGAACACATTTAGGTAGTATGTATAGGCATTTTTAAATAATGTTGTTTTTTGGGACAATCTAAAATATAATGAAATAAAATATACATAAACAACTATTAATAATTATTAATTATTCCATAACAATAATAATAATTATTAATAATTGCTCACCAATAACATAGTAGACCAAAAGAGAGGGGCAGGTAGAACTAAACACACAGGTCGGAGTGTTGAAAAGCAACAGTTACCCAAAATTACAAAGCGCTAAAAGCGCTTTGTTTTTTTAGGGATAAAAAACAAACAGGAATAGAAAGGTAATATGAAACATTTAAGGCTATGTGAAAAATGTGTAAACAGCATGGCCTAATTGAAGCTTAAAAACTATGCATAGATGTGTGTGCGCCTTAGAAAATACACTGAAAGTCTTTAATGTAAGAAATCTGAATGTGAAGAATTGTGTATCATTTATAAACATAAAACAAAAAGATTTTTTTATATACAAAAGAGAAAAGATAAATGGTTACAAAGCAAGTATATAACCAGTGGTGTTTCAAAGAAAAACAGCTAAAAAAAAATGAACAGTGGTTGGATTTTAACCCTGGACTTTCCATGTATGATATAAATGCCTTATCCAAATAAACTTAAGTGCATACGCTTTAGGAACAAATAAATTTAATGATATTATGAAAAAAGTAATACATAAAAGTATACACATGCATTAGATAGACATTTTCATAAACTGACAATATATACTTTTTACATTAAAATTAAACAAATATATTTTACAAACAGATAGCAATATATATTTTTGCTTTCCCCTTTAAAAAAACAACAAATGAAATATAGGAAAATTATTCTTTTTAATGTTGACTTTTTTTTTTTTGCTCTGCCTTATCCAATTTTTTAACTGAAAATAATATCTACTCTAAAGGAATAAAAATAAAAACAGTATACAAATTATTTGAATTAATCTTTCAAAATTTTTTCCATTTAATTGTTATTTTAATTATCCCTATACGTCACCACAAATCGAATTCATTTCGTAATCTTTATATCTTCGTTGCGTTATTAGTGTCTGAATAATAATAATCTTTGAACAGTCGCATGTTTAAAAGTAGTTCAAAAGTTTCATAATAGATCCTTTTTTTATATATATTCATTTTTGCAAGAGATGTCTCGTTGGAATAAAAAACAAAAAGTCCCTGAAGTGTTTGATTCTGTAGCGGAAGGGCTTGTTCGCTTATATAAAGAGTTTGCTTTCTTTGTTTTGCTTTCTTTGTTTTTTCCTCAACGCTTGATATAGAAAAAACACAAACCACTGTGACCAAATTGTCTAAAATAAAATACACATGCGTGGATATACATGACAAAAAAATGCACAGGTTTCCTGGGAAGGCTTGATATAAATATATATAAATATACATTTATATCAAGCTCTGTATTTATTTTCTAAAGCCAATAAAGATTTCGTTGTATATATAAATATAAATTTTTTCTGTATATATAAATATATATATACAGAAAACTGTATATATATATTATATATCTGTATATCTGTATATCTGTATATATAAATATATATATACAGATATATATATATATATATATATATATATATAATTGTGGCATCGTTAACTCTCAGCTTGACTATTGTAACAGCATTTTATCTGGCACTTATCAAAAAAATATTAAAAAACTCCAACGAATTCAAAATAACTTATCTCGTATTGTTTTCCATTCTCCTTTCCATTTAAAATCAGAAATATTGCTGAAATCTCTTCATTGGTTACCAATACATCAAAGAATAATCTATAAAATATCAGTTATCACATATAAAATTTTATTATCAAAATCTCCTGCATATTTATTTGAACTCCTAGAAGTCCGAACTTCAAAACAAAATACAAGATCATTAGACAGTTGCCAACTTACACGTCGTCAACAAAAAACCTCCTTAGGCTCAAAATCTTTTTGTATGGCTGCACCTCGAATTTGGAATGGTTTATCTTTGAACACGCGAAACTCAACTTCTATAGAAACATTCAAAAAAAGACTAAAATATAAACTTTTTATGAACTATTTTTCAGACTCATAGTTTACTTGTTTAGTGCTTCTGAATTACTTCATCACTATTGTGATTGTTGTAAATAATGGCACTTTAATCTCTAATTATTATTATTATTATTATATATCAGAGGTGCGCACTAGATTTTTATGTTTGAGTTTTGACACTAACAGGCATTGCACAAACTCCAAACTTTTGTATGTTTATGCCAAATGAGAATATTTTGCAAAGAATTGCGGTGATTAAAGATTAGGAAAAAAAACCGCTAATTTTTGGGCCTACCTAGCCCTTAATGTGAGAGCAACAAGTTTATAAATTATTTTCTATACTATTTTTATCTAAATTTGTATTCTTCAACAAATTTCATGCAATAATCTTTTAGTGTTTAGTTTTTATGAACCTGCAAAGTTTAAAGCCCTCTTAAATTAAGAGGAGTTAAACCTTTATATATATATATATATATATATATATATATTATATATATATATATATATATATATATATATATATATATATATATATATATATATATATATATATATATATATATATATATATGTATATATATATATTAGGGTGGGTCATAAAAATTTTTTTTCTTGTTACAGGTTCTAAATATTGCTAATAGTTATTAATATTGATACTATCAAATATGAGAATGATTGTGATAGATTTAAAGGGCGCAACTGTATTAGGAAAATTAACGGTACCCAAATGTTTTGGGGAAAAAAAGTTTTTCAAAAGTAGGTCAACTTGGTACTCAAAAGAAGCAAAATTTTATAAAAAATTCGAAATTAATAATCATTTTATAAAAATCATATTGCCGAAAAAAATTGTTATTAAAAAACATTTAAAAATGCACCTTTTTCACTTTTAGTTAAAAAACTATAGTTATTATGCAATAAAATCTAAAATAATAATTTTTATATGAAAAAATTATTATTTTTGAAATTTTTTTTGAATAATAATAATAATAATAGGGCCTGCTAATTTTTGTAATTATAGTTGCGGGTGGAAGACATTGTTCAATCCATAAAAGTAAATACTTTCCTAAATTAGTACATAAAAAAACAACTTTTTAGACCCTAGCCAGGTTAGCAACTCTAAAAAAAAAAAATTTACGACCCACCCTAATATATATATATATATATATATATATATATATATATATATATATATATATATATATATATATATATATATATATATATATATATATATATATATATATATATGTATGTGTATATATGTATATATATATATGTATGTGTATATATGTATATATATGTGTGTGTATATATATATATATATATATATATATATATATATATATATATATATATATATATATATATATATATATATATATATATATATATATGTATATATATATGTATATATATATATGTGTGTGTATATATATATATATATATATGTGTGTGTATATATATATATATATATATATATATATATATATATATATATATATATATATATATATATATATATATATATATGTATGTGTATATATGTATATATATATATGTATGTGTATATATGTATATATATGTGTGTGTGTATATATATATATATATATATATATATATATATATATATGTATATATATATGTATATATATATATATATATGTGTGTATGTATATATATATATATATATGTGTGTGTGTATATATATATATATGTATATATATATATATATATATATATATATATATATATATATTTATATATATATATATATATACACACACATATATATATATATATACATATATATGTGGTTAGCAACTCTAAAAAAAAATTTTATGACCCACCCTAATATATATATATATATATATATATATATATATATATATATATATATATATATATATATATATATATATATATATATATATATATATATATATATATATATATATATATATATATATATATATATATATATATATATATATATATATATATATATATATATAGGTACCTTCATAAAAAATTTTAACTTTTATTTTTTAAACCAAATTAATTCTATTATATAGAGATTATTAAATGACAAATTTTTATACCAAATTTATTATCTGGGGTCAACTATAAAAAAAGATATTCAATTTTGAAGGTAGAGAAAATAAAGTGGACATCTTAACAAAGATACACAAGAAAATGACTTCAAAAAGTGGACTTTATAACGTAGTTCATAAAATATTAACAATTTACTGTCACATATATGATAAAAACTGTTTATTATATCCCACTTATATAAATTAAATTTAAAAAAAAAAAAAAAGAGAGGGGGGGGGGTGTTTAAGCCCATTTTAAAAAGGGGACCAAGTTATTAAAATACATTTACTTATTATTTTATACTACATTTAAATCTATCAACAGACCCAATAATTCTTGATATGTTTAAAGTTATTTTTTTAAGTTATTTCACATGGTCATAACCTTTGAGCATTAAAAAATGTGAATTTAAATTTAGTTTTGAATAATAAACTTAAAAACTTATTTACTCATTAAATTAACATTTGAGACAGGGGGTTCTATCTTTTTTAGATAGTTTTTTTCCTAAGTTTTATTTACCACAATTTTTTAGCAAATCATTCTTATTTGACACATGATTGAACATACTTATACTTAGAGTTTTCACAATGCCAAGTACAGTATCTGAAATGTAAAATAACCCTGTGCCTGCTCTTGGTTAATACAAAAATATTTAAAAACTAAAAGGAATAAATAAAAATGTATACAAAATAATCAACTTAAACAAAATAAAAGATAATAATGCCTAATATAGTATAGTAATTTTTAAATGAACTCCAAGTCTTTAAGTATTAGATCTGCTATAACTCCTTCCTGGCTTATGTCAATATCTTCAGCTTCATCTTCATTGACTTTCCAATATCCTATTGTGTATGTAAAAGATTTTTTTTTTTGTTGCTACCTTTTGATCAACAATTCTACCAAAAAATAAATGTATATTACCATCATCTAGCTCCCATTTATGGCTTAAGAGCTGCCCTATCAAATTTCCATTTTTCAAAATTACTCCTAAAATTCGTTTTTATTTTTCATCAATATTAACAAAAAGAGGATTTGTGGTTTTGGCATTTTCAGCTATTGCTCTTTTAATATCCTTCTCTAGTCGCTTTCTTTCCAGACGCTCTTTTTTTAAATTAGCTTTGGCGCATCTTTTTCCTATTTCTTCATACAAAAGATTATTAAAATTTTTAGAGGCTTGACACGTTAAAGCTCCTCTGCGAATTACAAATTGAATAAGATCTTCTTGTTCTGGCAATGTTTTCTCATCAAGCCATGTTAATGTTTTGTTTACCCTGGCTTTTTTTTTAGAATCCAGAAAACCAAAAGTAGCATTAGGAGCACGACGCAAAAAAAAATCAAGCATGCCCAAGATCCTTTCAGCCTCCATTGTATGAGGTGGAGCAGATTGTGTGGTTTTTATCATTTCTTTAGATGGATTTGAGAGATTGCCAGTCAAATACCTGGCCATCTGTCTTTTGAGAACTGTCTCTGTGTAGCTTATTAAAGCTGATAAAATCTTTACCAAAATATTTTTATTTTTTATTACACGAAGGGATTGGTGTATCTTATCTTTTTTAATATTTAATACTTGACTAAAAATATCCACATCTGTATAAAGAATTGATTCTGGATTACTTTTGAAGTAAGCTAATTTCCTTATTGCTTTCTGGAAAATGTCACCCTATTAAAAAAATAATTTTTGTACATTTTTTAAACTATTTTATTTGTTTATTAGAAAACCTTAAAAACTTACAAACTCAAGATTACTCTTTCCTGTTGCATTTTTATAAACCAGACTCATCCATGGCCCAATTATTATTTTTCCTATCAGGCCCAACCCTTGCAGTTGCACAAGCGTTATATCATTACTCATATCTTGAAGTAAGAGTTGGCAAATTTTATTTTTGGTGTTGCTAGAATAACGAGAAAATGTTAATACATAGAATTCTATTAAAACAAATATTCATCTAAAAAAAACTTACTTTTCAAGAAAGGTTTTTATAAGTCTTTCGTATGTAACAACAATCCCTGCCATATGGAACAAAACATGAAATCTACTACCAACATATCTAAGGAATAGCCCTGGAGCAACATTGTTTTTTTTAAGATAGCTTTTGAATGCTGCAGGATCGCCTTTAAAACTATACCTGATTTTTAAAGAGCAAAAAAATTAAAATTTCAAATTTTCAAAATGTGGAAATAATAAAGAAATAATTGCTCACAAGAAAATAAAACTAAAAAAAAAATTTAAATAATGAAAGATATACATATAAAAGATTACCTTAGCTTAGAAATATTTTTGAGGACTGTTGGTACTGATAAGTACTCATTTACATGTTTGTCTAAAACGGTGGTTGCATCAAACACTACTGTTGCACATTCACAATGAAAAAGTGCATCACCAGCCTGAACCAATGCTAAAACACCTGGCTCATATGCCATTCGATTTACTGTGGATGAGTGAGGTGTTTCTTGCAGTTTTGTGTTGTGTAACAGTTCAGAAATTTTTTCTAACAAAAATGAGACGCTTTCCACAGGCACATTGTTAATAATAGCAGCATAAACACATTTTCTTATGGGTAGGTCATATGTTTTTAATTTTTTGGTTTCTAAAAGTAACCTATTATCTTTTTTTTTTTCTAAAACAATACTAGTTAAAAAATGATTTTGTTCTACAAGTTGTTTATTTTCTTGCTCTTTGATTTTTATCTGTTCCTGTAATTCTTTGATCGCAATTTTGTGTTTCTTTTCTATCTTTTTAACATTTTGTTGCAACTTCGTTCTACTAATTTTAAGAATTCTCAATTCATTAATGAAATCTAGAGAATGAAACTTATTCTGTTGAACTGTTTTTTGTTTTTTTTTCTTCTGAATATTTCAATTTCCACAAATTTAGTGAAAAATACTGTCTTTTAAATTTTTTGTTTGTAAGCTTGTTACAGGTCATTGATTTTTTCAAAAAACGAACTCTCTGCTGCAATTTTCTGTTTTTTTCTTGTAAACTACGTATTTCATCTTTTTTTATTTTGCATGAACCACACTTTACTCTCTGCATTGTGTCTGAAGCAATATTTAAATCACTTGCAACGTTTAAGTGAATAATTGTATTAGAACTATTTCTTTTTCTTTCATATTTAAATGGTTGCTGCAAAAAATTAACAATAGCAGCCCATGACTGGGTAGGGTTTTTTTTAAAGATTTTTATCTTTTTATGCAAGTATCTTATATTGTTGGAGAATATTTTAAAATCAGATGCATTTTGAGGTCCAATGTTCACTTTTTTTAATTTCAGACAAGTTTTTGATAATTTGAAATTATTTTCAGAAAAAATTTTGTAAATGTCACCATTTAACAAAGGCTTCGATTGGCATTTATATGAATTAATTAAAACGCAAATATCTTTTGCAGTCTTGTGGTCCATCTAAAGTAAAGAAAAATACAAAGCAACAATGAAAATAATTTTAAAAAATGGCGCTATAATCAATACATTATTTTGCGGTAGCAACTGTATGCATCTTTTTTAAACATGAAGGAGATTTTAAAGTATCCGTTATTATATATCAAATGAAAGATCTATGAAGAATTTATTTGAGCATGTCAAAATCATTTATGAGCATTTGTATTGGTATATTAAATTCTTTATATGAAAATTACCTATTTTGGCAGGATTCCTTAACAGTGAAAAAATCGCAATTTTTTGAAAATTGTATAACTATAAACAAGTTTAACCTTCACTTTAAACGAAAAAATATAACAAAAATTGACACTTTATTTTTTAGCTAGCTTTTAAACACTCTTTCCTTTATGCATATAGCGTAGTTTGGAAAAACACGGAAATTCAGAAACTTTATAAAAGCGATGTCAAAATAAAAAAACGGACGCATACGAGGGTACCTATATATATATATATATATATATATATATATATATATATATATATATATATATATATATATATATATATATATATATATATATATATATATATATATACATATATATATATTAGGGTTGATGTACATTTGAAGAAAATAAAATTCACTGATATGTGGGACCCAGTATTGAAGGGTCATGGAGGTGACCTATTTCAAAAATTAAATAAAACTGATGACTTTTCAGTTACTTTCAAACCAAAGTACATCTGTTTTTTATACTGGAAACAGGAGATAACCAAAAATTTACCAAAATAGTCAAATCCCATATATATATATATATATATATATATATATATATATATATATATATATTATATATATATATATATATATATATATATATATATATACCTTGACAATTAAGCTACATTTTATTGTCGTCGAAATGTCAAAGCTATTAAATTAATGAAGTACATTATATTTTATTGTTTTTTAAAAAAAATCACAATAATAATGACTAGAAAGTTTTTTTTAATTAATGGTGTTTTTGTTGTTGTTTTATAAAAATGTATTTTTAAAACATGCATGGAGTGTTGCTACATCGACTATATTATAGCCTGTTGCTACAAGGGAGTGTTGCTACATCTACTTTAATAATATATATATATATATATATATATATATATATATATATATATATATATATATATATATATATATATATATATATATATATATATATAATATAAATTTTATATTATGATTTTATATTATAATTTTTATCATTAAATAAAAAAATTTTAGTGTAACTTTTGAACAAATTTAGATTTAAAATTGCGTCAGTTATAATAACTATATACTTTAAAAGGCTTTAAAATGTTGTCAGCGATAAGCAGCGTCTGCAAAAATCCAGTCTTTTTTTAAAAAAACCATCCCAATGGGGTTTTTTTTTGGGTAATTTTGGGGTAATTTTGGGTTTTATTGGGTAAATTTTGGTTTTAATTTTATTTTATATCTGTAAAATTTTTTTTTGTTTTTTGTTTAGTGATATTGAAAATTGATAATTTTTTTTTATAGATTTCAATTTTATTTTATCTTTTATGTTATTCACCTCATAAGTCTGAGAAGGCCACTACAGTTGAGGAGGCTACCTTTCACGCGCGCAATTGCTAAAAAATTGTATTCATTTCAAAAACTTGGAGTAAAAGCAAGTGCTCAATTTTATTCACCCTGCCTAATATATTTCCAAATGTTTCAAATATTAGTAAACTACTCTAGCTGTTATTGTTGGTTATAATAATAGTTAATAATAGTTTAGTTTCATGTTAATGATTGTTATAATAGTTCATAAAGTTATAAAATATCTTTAAAAAATCCCAATAAAACCCAGATTGCCCGGGTTTTATTGGGTTTTTTTAAGCGAGTTTTATTGGGTGAGTTTGTTAATGCCAACCCTGATATATATTTATATATGTATATATATATATATATATATATATATATATATATATATATATATATATATATATATATATATATATATATATATATATATATTTAAATATATTTATATATATATATATATATATATATATATATATATATATATATATATATATATATATATACACACATACATACATACATACATACATACATACATACATACATACATACATACATACATACATACATACATACATACATACATACATACATACATACATACTGCATACATACATACATACATACATACATACATACATACATACATAAGGGCAGGCAGTCTATCATTTAATAAAAAATATATATATATATATATATATATATATATATATATATATATATATATATATACAGTGGTGTACACTATATTTTTAGATGTTTGAGTTTTGACACTTACACGCAAGTGTAAGTGTCAAAACTCAAAAATCTATAAGTATCTAAGTTTATATTCATCAACAAATTTCAAATTTCATGCAATAACCTCTTAGTTTTTAGTTTTTATGACCCTACAAAGTTTAGTGTCACAAGCTCCTATCATTACAACTCTTTGGAAAAGATTCTCATTTGACATAAGCATGAACATACAAAAGTTTGGAGTTTGCACAATACCTGTAAGTGTCAAAGCTCAAACATCTAAAAGTCCAGTGTACACCACTGATATATATTTATATGTATACAAGCCTTCCCAGGAAAGGTGTGCAGTTTTTTTTCTCGAATGACCACACGCAATTATAATATTTTAGAAAACATGAATACGGCCATTTGCAAGTTTTGTAATAATGTTGAAAAAGTTTCAAAAACAAAAAAACAAAACTAACAAAATAAAAAGAGATTGAAATAGAAAAAAATAAAAACAAATTAATAATTTAATTAATTTGTGTACTATTTTTATTTTTGTTTCTTTAGAGTTACATTTAGCAACAAAATTAGATAAGGCAAAGCAATAAAAAAACAGTTTGAAGTCTACAATAAAAAGAATGATTTTCCTTTTCTTAATTTTTTTTTAAGAGGATAGCAAAAATACAAATTTCAATGTGTTTGCAATTTTTGCCAGAATTTGCGAATGTAAAACCCAAAATCTGGAAAAATATCTAGTATTCAAAATTTTAGTTTATACAAAACCGTGTTCCTTGTTTTTAAGTGTATTTGATTCACGTGTGATTAAAATTTTTAGGTGTATTTGATTCACGTGTGATTAAAACTATGATACATTTTAGCCGCTTTTTAATTGAAATTAACTAAGAAATGCCATCCTCCCCTAACCCCGTGAATCAAATACACCTCCGCCGTACTTTTTTATAACGTTGTTTAAGTAATATGTGAAAGTTCCTGAAATTTTTAATAATACTTGAATATCCTCTTTATTTTTTCTAGATGCTTTTATTACTTTAATAAATGTTTGGAATTAATGTTGTCTGAACAAAGAATGAACTTTAAAAGTAATAAGTGCTTTATAAATGTAATAATACATTTTTATTACTATTATTTTTGTTAACTGGTGGTATTTTAAAAACGCACAAATTCGTTATGAAACTAAAAAAACGTGGTTTTTAAACACAATAGCATTGAGGCCCAATACACAGCAATTAGAAATTTGTTAGATCCTTTTTATCTCATACAGTTAACCCACTTCAAGCCCTAGCTGTTTAAAAGGAGTTTATACAAGGTTAGCTAAGTTTCCTAGCCGACCATTATTCTTGTTAACCTCCTGCCATCATATCAGAGATCTTCATGTAGTCTTAGCCAAAAATTAAACTGTTGAACTGGGGAATAAACTATTTATATCATAAAACCATAAACGGTTAAAAAAAAGTAAGATAATGATAAAACTTTATTAACTTTTAAGTATTATTCATTATTTAAACTTATTCATTTTGTTTTTTTGCAAAAACAAAATGAATAAGTTTCTAATTCTAATATTATTTACATATAGCGTTTTGAGAAGAGCAGAGATTATTGTGAACTTGCGGGAAAAAAAGCAGACAATTAGGTGAAAATTAACAAAAATGGAGCAGTTTCACACGCCTTGACTTTCATGAAATTCAAGTTGCATTTCTCTAAAATCAGGCAGGTTTTTATTATAAGTAATAAAATACTCAAAGAGATCAATAGAATGGCTGACTAAATTTCTCTCTCCAAGTAATTGCAGTTTAAGTAAAACTTACTTTCATAAGTTTTAATATTTTAGTCTTATTACTTAAGAATGATTTATGTCATAAAGTAATAAAATTGTTTAATAACAATAGTTTAAAATCAGATGTAAAATGCACAAAATATTAATTCTTTTTTTAAAATCAGTAGAAATATAATAAAAATGAAATCAATAGAAATAGCTTTTATCTTTTAATAGATTTTATCTTGTCAAAATAAATGTAATAATTGTTTAGCGATGTCATTTTAAACTAGGGCCCTGTGAATCACCTTTTTTGGTATCGAATCGAAGCAGGCATTAATTTGCAAATCGAATCTAATCTTGAATCAAATCAACATTTTGAGGATACTTATGTTTTAGTTAAATTTAGATTTTCTCAAAATGCTAATTGGACTCGTGATTCAATTCAATTTGCAAATCAAGGCCTGCTTTGAATCGTGGTTCAATTACAAGCTAAAAAAGGTGATTCACAGGGCCCTATATTAAACCTTATTTTATCTAGATTGCATTACTTTTAATTTACACTTTTAAGATTAACAAGACTATTAGCAGATGTATATAGAGCCTGCTGCAGAGATGTAATTCTAATCATGGTAAAACCTTAGAGGTGTTTGGTGCTGGTGTTAGCATTTTTTGACCGAGATTATAGTATAAAAATGGTCAAAAATTCTGTATTCAAAAACAAAGGGAGGTCCGAAAAGATGAAAAACAGATAGAATCAAAGCTGAAATTCTTCAAAATGCAGTTTTCGTTGATAAAGACTATCCACTAGGTCTTGATTTGCATATTTCACCAGACTACTAGTTGATATTTGATACTTCAAGTCGTAGTTTGAAAAAATGCATACGAATGAGACTTCCTCAGACTTTATGGGTACCATGAATTCCAAAACTTTTAAAATCTTTT